CGGTCTCCATTAGACGCTCAAAAGTTGCTGGAGCATTGCATAGTCCAAAAGGCATTACATTAAACTGCCAAAGTCCAGTTCCAGTTGAAAAAGCAGTTTTCTTTTCGTGACTATTTAATAAGCTATTTCGCGAATGGCTGCTGAACCGAAGTAACACGTCTGCTCGGCTTCAAAGGCTCAACGAATACTTAACTCAAAATTTTAAAATATAAAATCAAAATACGTATTTATAATACGTAACTATTCCATTAATTTTGGGGCTTTAGGCTAAAAGAGAAATAGATAAAGTGAGATACTTTTCTCTTTCTTCAAGTTCTCACCTGGCTCGCTGCGTTTTTATCATTTCTTACAGCGAGAAAATCACTGAATAAATTACTTTTCTCAGTGGTCTTTTTAGCGAAAATGGAAGTCGTCACCACTTTCCAGTCAGTGAAAATTGCAACTTCCTTCTCTACAAGAAAGTAACTTTGGCATAAGATAATCTATCTGTTTAATTGGCAAAAACTAAGACAGATCCAGAACATTGGCAAGTCAACTACAGATGTATCTGCTTATTGTGAGCCGTAGCGATCCGTCACTTGTGGACCTTAGAAAGACCAGGTCTCATCACGACTTCAAGCTGATTTCTTCAAATTAATTTAATTACTAATTGAAATTTTATTTTGCAGATTGAGCGTAATGCGGCGTTTAGATGTGACGCAACAGGTACTAGACGAGGCAAAACCTGCAAGTTTTCAGTGTGGCAAAGAATAAACACATCCGAACTGCATCCTTTGATCTACCGTCCTTGAGCGATAAGTCCCTGACGCTCCAACTGTGTGCCAAATTTTGGATTGTAAAGCGCGTGTCGAGCCAGATCTATCACGGCTTCTAGGTTAGTTTTCCAAATTAATTTCATTGCTCATAGATTTTTACTTACAGCGTAATGTTGCTTACATGAGCAGCGAGAGAAGCGCGACGATACATTGCGACAATACCGAGATGCAATCACGCGATACTGCAAGAAAAACTCACCGACTGAAGCGTGCCCACCAATCGTCCACCACGTGCCAAATTTTTCTTTATCAAGCATCTCTGCATCAAATCTTTCGGGGCTAGATAGATTCAGGGCTAGAAGATTTTCTAAATTAATTTCATTATTTTTACATATTGCAGCTTAAGTGAAGCGCGACAGGAGCGTGACGAGACCGCCAAGCAGGCGGACGATACTGCAAGGCAAGCGCGACGTCCAAGACGCGCCTTTCACGTGCCTCTCGCAAGCTAGATTTTGGATGGTCAAGAGCGCGCCGGACCAGATCGCTGGCGTCTTCAAGACAATCTTTCCAAAATATATTAATTACTAACAGAGATTTTGTCTTGTTGTCAGGTTGAGCGTAAAGGCGCTTACAAGTTAAAGTGCTACGATACTGCAAGGCAAACGCAACGTCCAAGGCGCGACTTTTACGCGCTTCTCGCAAACTACATTTTGGATTGTCAAGAGCGCGTTGAACCAGATCGTTATAATTGGCGAGTTCAACTATCGATGGGAGGGCTGCGAAACGTCAAATTACTCGTTACCGAGTGACAGTTGAGACTTGTCTATCTATTGGAGTTGATAAACCAGCGAAGTGAGATACAATTATAACAAAAATAAATGTAAGTAGACGTACGATACATAATTGTTCTGTAAAAAATTGCCAATCGCGAAAGGATACGAACAGAAGCAACCATTTTCATTATTTCCCCAAGAAATAGTGGCCAAGTTGCCGTCACAAAAGGAAAAGAAGTTAAAAAGAACGTGGATCGGCAAAAAGCATGGAAGGGGGCTTTGTGAAGGGACCAGCCAGTTAAAAAGACTATGCGGGTGTGTGTTCATTGCATTTCAATACCGAAGATTACAAAGTAGGTACGCCTCAAAGTTTTCTGTTTGGCCGAGTTTACGTTAGGCTTTATGAATTTTTGCACAGAGACATCCTCAACCAGTATGAATCGTCCGAAACTGAAGCTATCAGCTGTGCCTTCACGAAATTTACTAGTTAGGGAAACGAATATATGGGAAACGGACCGACAAACTGCAACACAACATATGATTTAATCACACATGAATAGAAGAGCTGATGTAGACCAAAGGCTATCACAAGTTTTGCGCTTTGTGACAATGAAGACTTGGATAATGTGAACAAAAGTGTTAAGTGCTGTTTCTATTTGGTCTATTGGTTCTATGTCAACAGAAGTCTCAAATTACTAGTTAACGGAGTTTTAATTTTAGCCACTGTTGAGCTCACGAAGATGGTGCGACAGCATCGCGATGATACCGTCAGATCAGCGCAACGATACTGCGAGAGAAACGCATCCCAAGTTTTTGATTCCCAAGCGCGCGTCGAACCAGGTCGGTCACGGCATCAAGGTAAGTTTTCCATATTAATTTCATTACTAATAGAAAATTGCATGGAAAAAGAATCTCTTGCAATTCTCACGCGTGACAAAAGCGCTATGAGATTGCAAAATAAGCGTGCCTTTTACGCGGCAACCACATAATTTGGAATGTCAAGAAAGTGTTGAGGCAAGTCGTCCGCGGCTTCAAGGCAACTTTTCCAAATTAATTTCATTACTAATAAAGTAAAACAAAACAAAAAACACATTTGTGTGCGTCACGGGACGCTCGACAGAAGTGATATAGAACTGTATAGAAGTTCATACCATTTAAATAAACTCACGGGTCACGTGCAGGCCGTTTGTGTGCTGTGATGTCAGACCAGGCGTTTTCGCATTACGTCAGATGATGGAATTCTCGAAATTATTTTCGTTTCGCTAATGTATCAGCAACCCAATAGCTTTTTTATTTTTATCTGTAATCGTCTTCTCACAATATAACTATTTTCCAAAAGAAAATTATCCATTATTATTAGCAGCTGAATAATGACGCTGATTATTATTCAGGGCTATTAAAAATTGCGCCATTTCTTTTAAGGGATTAGAATGAGCCTTCACTTGAAGAACGAGAAAACAAACATTTTTCGAAAATTTCTAGAATATATTAACAGTTGAAGATCGAATTTCAACTTTGCTTTTAAGTATTATTTTAAAAAGATCTCATGTTTGGTTGGTAGCTTATTGAAATACTATTTTATTATTTAATATTACTTACTAAAACTAGTCAAGCATGACCAAGCATCAGTTTTTATCTGTTATCTTAAAATTAGGGTAGTTAACTAAGTCAACCAACAATATCGACACGCACACCATGCTCTGTCCTTAAAACACTATACCAGTTCAAAAAATTCGTTGTTTTCAATCTGCGGTATAAATTCTGATCATCTAGCAGCTGGCGGGTTTCTGCGTTTGGATGTAGCTGTAGTCTAGCTTAGTGTTCCTTTGCATACCGTTTGATTGCCGGTTCAACAGTCAGCATTCCAAGGTCTCTGTGAAGATCATTATTCCTGACGAACCGGTATTTTCGACCGTTTGAATCTTTTTTATGTGTGTGCTTTTTGTGCATCTCCATAGCTGAATACCGTAGATCAATGTAGGTTTAATAATTTGTTTATAAATTAAACGTTTGGTATGCAAAGTCATCTTGGAATGCCTGCCAATCAGCCATCTATATTGAGCAATTTTAATTTTCAGCTCTTTTACTTTCTTTCTGACATGTTCATTCATTCGTCTTAATTTAGTATCCAAAGTCATAACCAAGTTATTTCGCAGTATTTGCATATGGGTTCCATTACTATTTATTACTGCGGGATCTGTCAAATTTTGGTTGGTAAAGTTAACATAGGTCGATTTAGTTTCGATAAGTTTAATTTTCCACTCGGTGGTCTATTTATAAACAGCATCGCTCGCTTTCTCTAGTTTCTGTGAGGATGTTACTCGATTTGTGTCAGTTGACGTTAATCCTATGTCATCCGCATATGTTACTATTGTCACTTCCTTCGGTTGGGGTATTCTTCTTCATCAGCTTAGATTTGTCCACTGCTGCACATAAGCCTCCCTAGGATATTCCACTTTCTCCTATCTTGTGCGACCTGTATCCAATTGGTCCTGATGCGTTTTATGTCGTCAAACCATCTGGTTGGCGGTCATCCCCTATTTCTGTTCGCGTCTTCTCTGGGTCTCCACTCTATTATCTGCTTGGTCCACCTATTGTCTTGTATCCTGGCAATATGTCCTGCCCAGTTCCATTTCAGAGTTGCGATCTTCTCCACTGCATCTACCAGTCCTGTTCTTCTGCGGAGTTCAGTATTCATAATGTGGTCCCTAACTGTCAATCCCAGCATTGATCTTTCCATTGCGCGTTGAGTCACTCTGAGCTTCTGAGTCACTCTTATAAGTTATAAGTAAGAGTCGGTTGGGGTATATCACTGGTAAAAAGTAAATATAGGACAGGCCCTAGGACGCTCCCTTGTGGCACACCCGCTTGAATTTCCTTCAACTCTGAGTAAGCTCCTTCTTGCTTGCTTCTGAATAGTCTATTAGAGATATATGAAGTGAGAATGTTGACGTATGGTTGGGGTAACATTTTACCTAGTTTGTAGACTAGCCCTTCATGCCATACTTTGTCGAACGCCTGCGATACGTTGAGGAATAATGCTGAACAGACTTTATTTTCTTCTAGTGACTTCTCTATTACATCAGTTATTCGGTGCACTTGATAAATTGTAGAGTGATTTGATCGAAATCCAAATTGATGATCGGAGATTAACTTCTGGTTCTCTAATATTTATTTAAATCTTTTCAGCAACAGTTTTTCAAACAGATTTAATATTATTGGCAAGAGGGAAATTGGTCTGTACGACTTAACATGGTGTTGAGGTTTACCAGGCTTGGGGACCATGATGACTTCAGCTATTTTCCACATTGCCGGTACGTGTTTAATCCTGATTGAGGCGTTAAATAAATGTGTTAACATAAGTATCCTCTTTTTTGGCAGTCGGTTCAGGATTTGTCCTGTAATTAAATCAAACCTAGGAGCCGTTTTTGGGCTGAAATTATTACTAATTTATTCTGCTACTTCTTTCGGAGTAACAGGAGCAATCATGTCGATCGAATTGGAGGACGAAATATTGTCTGCAACCGGTGGGTTATTGTGTTGGTTGTTTTGTATGTCGTTTGGTACAAATACGCCTGCCAGATATTCAGCAAATAGATCCGCTTTTTGGTGATCATCACGAGCCCAATCGCTTAGTCCCTTTCTAATAAGCGGTATTGACACGACTCATTTTCTAACTTTCTTTGTAACGTTCCACAAGGATTATTCAGTTTACCTGCTGATAAATTTTTAACAAAGGAATTTTGAGAATTCTGTTTTAATTTGTCAATTTCACGTTTTAGCTTTTGAGTTGGTCTATTTAATGATGTCTTATCGTTAAGATAACGTGTTTGTTGCCATCGTCTTCTTGCTTTAATTTTCTCTTTGACTAAAATCCGAATTTCAAACGGATAGTTTACTCTTTTCGTGATGTGAGTAATTTCTTTCGTGTTTTTGTAGCAGAGTCGTCAATTTTTCCGTTTCTACGTCGAGTTGTTCGGCTGTTTTCAATCTTACGTTTAACGTGATTTCCTCTTGTAGGTCAGCTTGGAAGCACTTCCAATCCCTTGTTTTGTTGGTGAGTGTTGGCTTGGCTTCCCTTTTAAAGATTTTTTCACTCATAGTCACAACTACTGCTGAATGGTCTGATTCAAGGCAAAGCAGTCATTAATTTCGATGTAATTCGATGATACTGTACCGTGGAGGCCGGGTATCAAACTCTTTCTTCAGCTTCCAACTTTTATTCAACTCGGTATAACTTTAAATATGGAACAGGAACAAACTAACTTCAAAATTAACGTCAACTTCACAAACAATAACAATAACAGACGGAAAACTTGCTCTTCCGACTCAGGGGTTTCACCTTTTCTGAACTCGGTCGCTGCTGTCTACTTCACTCACTCCTGTGCTTCTCGTCGCCGCTTATATAGTCTCCTCCAACCCCCATGACCAAATGCTTCTCGAAATCTTTCGCTTGTCAGTGTCATGTCAGTAAATGGGGCGCAATGGGGGCTCCCATTGTCCCCTGAAATACCATGAATTTCAATCCCCCTATTCCAAACGTGAGTACCCTAAGCCATTTCCGTTACAATACTTTTCTGGATATAAAAAAGTCCAATAAATCTAAGATTTTCGTTCTATCCGCCGGCCCGTAAGTTGGTTGTCCCATAGAATGAACGTTACAGCTCATATTTCTAATAGCTTCTCTTAACGCTTTTCCTGAATTTGTTATTCTTGCTTCTTTGTTATTATTTGAATAAGGCAACCTTTATTATTTTCAAGTATTAAATAGATTCCAGAAATTGTTTTAAGATGCGGTTTTTGCGGTTTAGTTCATTTTTCCTGTGCTTTCAAATGCGTGTAAAATAAATTGATGGAAGTATTTGAAATTTGAGTTAGTTTCTTTGAATTAAGCGGTTTGATTCTCCCTCCACGCTTTATTTGACAAGTTAGGAAAAAAGTTCATAAGGCAACTAGTACACTTTTTTATGATCTTTTGACTAAACTTGCTAGATGTTCCACTTATAGGGACAATTTCTGTATAAAATCGACTTTTTAAAATACCGTTTGCAATTACGCCATCTATTGGTCATCTGAGAAATGTCAAAATAATGTCCAGCAAATTATTTTCTGCAAGTTTGTTATCAAGTTTTTTTCCGATCACTCTAAAACACATAATTTACAAGATACAGCTGCTTACCATCCTTATTGCGACACCTTGTATGTATGGACAAAATATTTTAACAACTGGTTCTTTTAGACAAACTGATGATGGTGTAAAAACACCGAAGCGTTTTTTAATGACTATATTGTGATATTCTAAGTAAATGAATGAAACCCAAAAACATTGTTTATGTTGAAATTAGAAATACAGTCTAGAAAACTTACCTTCTGATATAGTTTGCCGCAAATATCTGTTTTCAGGATTTTTTAATTTTTTATTTTTCCTGAACTACCAAAACACCCCCAGAGGAATGACGCCAATTTTGCGTCACCCTGTATAAATGTGAATATTTGATACATAACTGCGCCTGAGTAACACAGTGGATTTTCAGGTGTTCACACAGTGACACCCACACAGCTTGCCGTATTGATAAGCGACACGGCGCGCCACACTTTATATGTTGGGAAATAAAAACGGAAGTGATGTTTCGTGATGTCTAGTGGTTTGTAAGTTCGCTAGCGGTGCTTTTAAGCAGTGCAGCACGTTGAATGTCTTTTCTTTGGATTTACTGAAGAGAGATTATGATAGACGCCGGACTTGCGTTGTTTTAATGAAAGGAACAAATAAAGCGTATTTGTCTCACAAGTATTTGTGATTGGTTTCGAAGCTGCTGGGTCAGCCATAAATTATAACCGAATGACCTTTGTTCCTTTATGTATGCATGGGCTGACATTTCTTTTTTGGCTCTGTTGATATATCCCAGATGTTCCAGAATCCCAGAAATCCCAGAGCCATATTGAACCGAGATAATAAGAAATTCATCAGTAATCTGTAGTAAGAGAAATATTTTGAGCACTTTCGTTCGTACAGCTTTATAACGTAAAATAATCCTTACCGAGAGGGTCAGAAACCATATGGTAACCGCGCGTGGCCTTTACGAACTGCAATACGAAGTCTGCCACTTCGATTTAGATTAAATGTTAAGTGTGGTTCAAATGTGGTTCAAAGCGCCCCGTCGTAAGAGGCCAGGTGTTGCGGCACATGGACACACCGAGCTGCTCATAACAACAAATTCAAAGGAGACCCGCCCACAGACCGACACATTATATTCACACAAATGGACCACACAATTCGCGAGTTCAAGTACCGATCGGGGCGCTGCAAA